GGTTTTAGCAGATTTAATGGACAGCGGCCCGACAACGTAATCAAAAAATCCCACAGCTGTCATCTGATTCTGATTCAAATGTTGCTAAATGTTTGGTGCATAGAAGTACAAGACATCACCTTTGTCTGGCTGTGCCCCGCCCACTTCAAACCAGTGAAAAGACCACAGAAACAAACTGCTTCTCACTTGAAACAACCAGTACTGGATTGACAGAAGAAATATTGTATCTACAGTTTGGGAAAAACAGGTTTCGAAGGCCTTTAATCGTGAGAAAACACAGTCTTTCAAAATAATGGCGGTTGCACTCTTCATACATGCAGCACATGATTTACTGCCAAAGGACATATTTTGATTGAAGGGGGCCAAAAAGTATCAACGCCCTTGCACAACCTGATGCTGCAACTATAAGACAGACCAACACAATAAGTGCATTAAGACTCATTTTGTGAGTTAGAATAGTTGTTTTTCTTATCGATTGATTTCTGTATTTCTTTAAAGACATTGATCTTACATAGATTATTCTGTCCATTAAAAGTTCTACTCTAAAACAGTTGAAAGTACTTTGGAAAAATTAGTCAAAAACCGGCAAGAGAAGGTGGTTGTTTCTGGTGAAGCTCAGAAACAAATCTGATTATTAACTGTTTGATTAAATGATGTCTTGTGGCTGCTCAACTTCACTCCATATCAATCCACTGGAAACTACTGACAGCAGTAGCTTATATTACATTACAGCCAATATTTTTTATATTTTAGGCACAAGTTTTACCCTGAAGGCCAGTGTGTTATACAAGCATTGTTATTCAGTTTTGACAAAACGACCCCACCTTAATGCTGGTAGTTTCCTAACATTCAGAACAGTAAATAAGATTTTGCCCTTATGTGAACCTCTCTGCACCTCCACAGTGAGCGGACGACGCACGTCATACATTGTTGACATACCAGCCATCAAACTGTCCACTGGGGCCCATTGGATGAGTCTAATAGCTTTAGCATGTGGTACCGTTTGTTTTTATTGTGGCGGTGTGTGGGTCGCTTATTGTCTTTATGGATCGAAGACAGCTGAAGGAAGGGCAGGGTTGCAGGACAGAGCAGTCATACACACATGTACAGTAGCAGCGCTGTGACTTTCACACATCCACAGAGCTGCACAGGATGCAACAGGTGACCCATCCTCGGATATTACCATTGTCAGGAGGTTGTTGTGCATTTCATGTTGCCAGACCTTTCAAGGAGGAAGTTGTGTAAGAGTGAGGTACAGGAAAACAGAAGCGAGAAGTCGCACAGTTTAAAACCTGTTGCATAATGCATATTTTTCTTTATACATAACCTTTTACAAAATGTGCATTTCATTTGCCATGCACCATGCTAAAAATCCAATGTTTTATTCATTTAATAAATAAATATAAATATATTGGTTCATTTTCATTAATGACCTTGGAAACAGCAGTTGACAAAACAGTCTCCACTCCTTTACTTGTTTGTCTTGGAGCCTTTGATCGTCTTCATCAGCAGCTCAGATGTCTGTAGATATTCAAAGTTTCCATTGTTCAGCAATGATAATAATTAATAGAATATAATAATGGAAAGTTTGAACACAGTTTTGTGACATCTGAGTAAACATCTTGTGATGACGATCGTGTGATATGGTTGAAAACTCCAGAATAAGCGAGTAAGTGGACACATTTCGTCCATGCTAGCTTTAAAAATGTGCAATAAGTTTCTTAACTCTATCTTAAGAAACTCTTCAGATAAAATTAGAAGATTTTAGGGTAGTGTAAGGTTTAAGGTGTAACTGGTGATGTAAATACCATGGCTTTAAACAATTAAAACGTTAAATGCTTCAGAAGGTGAAAATGTATTTGCTACTTGTCATTTTAGGATGAAAAGGGCAAATGAAAAAGCTTCTTTCCAAAGTTATATCTACCCTTCATTGTATCTCAAAAATCACTGTCTTTGAAAAGGAATTGTAATGTAAAAGAACTAAAATACTGGTCAAAACTGGTCAAAAACCTCCACTCTTGTACATCATCACTAAAGAGCAATGATAATGGATGTGAAATAACACTCTTCCCTCCTTTAAGTCCTCCTGCGTCTTGACCAGCCCACTTCCAGTTGACCCTGCTCCATCTGGTAATTACAGTTAATGCACAGAGCTGCTGAAGTGCGTTACACTGACAATACAAAGAGACTGAGACAATGTAATTCTGCTGTTAGAGATGCTTTTTAAGTGATCAATAAGAATTAAAGTGTCATTGATTTCATGGAAACCTTTACTTTAAGTCATTTTGTTCCCTCTCTGTAGGTGCGGGGGAGAGAAATTAAAGCTGTGGCTTCAGCGTAAGACCTTCAACACAAAGGAGAAGAGTCAGTGTGAAAACTCTAAACTGACAACTTGCCTTGTTCTCTTCAGTTGACTTTAACACATTACGTGATAACATCCTGTATATGTTATTTGGTTACATTTTGTTACATTAATGTGTTGTGCACATAGACACAAAAGTACAATCCCAGTGGTGAAACATTCAACAGGTAAAAACCTTTACATATTGAAAACAAATACCTTTATCGTCTGTTCCCTTCCTATAAAACACAACTCCAGATCTTTATAATCATCAAATCAGAAGAACCCAACATGGAGAAGAGTAAAAACTACAGCCCTTAAATCCTCATATGACACATGAAACTTCACCAAAACAACTAACAAAGCCCTTTCTCTTCATGTATATGTGCAGTATGAACACGTAAAGGGGTGTTGAAATGAAAGTTATAGTGGTTGAAGTTTAAGTTATTCATTCATCCAAAAAATCATCTTTTTTTTCTTCCTTCAATTGCTAAAAAAACCCTCCAGATTCAATGTTGTATTACCATTTCAGCATATTTAAAAAAAAAAAAAAAACCTCAGGACATCCAGTAACCTCACACTAGTTAAAACATAAAATCGCCATAGTCAGACAATAACAGCTTTATGATTAAACAGTAATACATAAGTAAAACAAGCATTTCTAAGGCTGCTATCCGCACCAAAAAACAACTATAATTTTACTATTGTTTGTCATAACTCATTTCTTTCCCTACATTTCCTGCCCTCTCTGTACTGTAAACTATAATAAAGGCATAAAAGGATACAACAATGGATTATTTTTTATTAATTTCTAATACTTCTGAAAACACAGGGGGTATCTGCCACTGTATTTTATGTTTGACGTTATACCATCCATTAAAAGTTACTGTTTGAGTTAAGTTCAGAAACCAACTGCGCCAAAAAACAAACAATACCAATCATAACACTGTTACATTACATTAAATCAACAATACAACAATACAAATATGCAGCCTAGCACAGACAAAAGGGAGAATTCATCAAATCAACAAAACAAAAGGAAAATCCATCAGCTGTACAGCATATATAGTTACACAGCATGGAGACTAATGCTGGTTGTTTTCAAAGCAGGGACTCATAAAAAGGGTCCATTAAATCTATCATCAACAAGTCCAAAAATATGCAAATAATTCAGTTTATGTATTTTTTAGCTCTTTAGGATCGCAATTGGCTGACAGTCAAGCCACAGTGACAATCTGGTCAATTTTAAAAAGAACAGCATCCATCAAACCAGTAAACAAACTATTGAACACAGCTGGACACATGTATATCAAAGTCATCGTGTTCTCGAAAAAAAGCATTGTGCAGAATGATTTACGTGCAGAGTTAGAGACACTAGAAGGTTGTTTTCACATTCATCTGCTGAGGGAGGAAAGTTTCATGTGCTCACTTTATATCTCTTTATATAAGAGATATAAATATATAAATATATATACACTTTATAATGACAATTGTGGTCCAATATGCAACTTCCACAATATTTGCACAGCTGTATTCAGGACTTGCAATAAGTGAGAATGTTATTCTTAATGTAACTTTATTTGTGGAAATACCATAAAAGAGACCAAGCAAGTGTTTTTATGTATCTTCAAAGATGCCTGAAGGGCAGGGGCGGAGCTAGAGGAATATTCATGGGGTGGCAAGATGGTCATAAACAATCACATATATCAATATTTGCTTGGAAAAGCCCTTAAATGATTTTTAAATGAAACTTCTAAAATGTGTCCATAACAGATCATTCAATTATATACCTTGATTTCTGTTTACAACACATCTAAATGAATGTCTAACATTTGACAGCATTTGACACCAAACTGGGGTAGCTGTTGGAGGGGAACTTTAAGAATTTATAAGTTTTTAAATGAGTCCAACCTCTTTTTTTAAGTGCATTAGTAAAAGTATGTTGTATATGTTTTGGATGTGAACATTTGTAGCAAATTTAGTCCATATGACATGAAAATAAATCTTCTGATTCCGTCAAAAAAAAAGAGTTAATGGATCGGTTCAAAGTTAATCAATAGTGCAGCCTTCACTCTGTTTCAGTTTCTATTTCAGCATTTTAACTTGGTAAAGAAACCCACTTGATTTCTCTCCCTCGGACAGTTAAAGCCTTATATTATCTTCACAATGTATTTTTACCCAGAACAAGAACTGTTGATTTTGTCCCTTTGACAGTGAACACTTTAGTAAGAGATCTCTTCACAGCCAGTGGACAGGAGGAACTATTATAGCACTGTAAAAAGAATAAATCCTCTTAAATGAAATTCTATATGATGGATAATGAGCACTATATAGCTCGCATCATCATCATCATCATCATCATCATCATCTTTAACACCTCTTACCCTCCATCGCTCTGCAATCAGCAGTGATAGTGGAGTGATTTTAATAAAGCTAACACTGGCCTCCGATCTGCAGCCATCATGTTCAGACAAAAAAAAAGAGGCAAATTTAATTAGTGGGTGTTTCCAGACAGATTCTTACTGATTATCTTCCTCTTTTTTTAATGAATTCATGCCCTAAATATTGTTGTGAGCCTACAGAAAAGGAGGATAAACCCGGGTCTGCTGGTCCAATGGGCAGCATCACATCCTGTCGGCTGAACTGGGTGTAAACTTTGAGTCGAGGCGGGGAGAAGAAACCACAGCGGAACCAGCAGCACTGGGAGTCCGTCTGGGAGGTGCCACTGGTGCCACTCGTTTGATTCCCAGTCCCACAAAGTTAATGAAGTTGGATTATTTATTGTTTCTGCGTTGCGGATTCAGAAAGTGAAGAAAAGCCTGTCTCAAGAACCATGTTCCACGGAATTATTTGGATATTTTGCCTGTGATGTTCTGGCAAAACTTTTATTGGACAATGTCTTCGCTGCCTTTGGGAGGTTTTCCATGTATGAAGTATATGGTTTTTTTTATTTCCATAGGCCATCTCTTCTTATTTTACTGCCTCCAATATTTATACCGTAGCTGGTAATTAACATAATCTTGCATTCCTGTTAATTTCGACAAAATGAAGGACAACACGGACTCCGGATTGCCACCCAAACGCAGATTTTTTGGCAGTTTATGAATGCAGCTGTAATCACCCAGGGGAGCCTCAAGTACTTAAATGGGTCCATCATGAGAACGAGACAATCAAGCTCCTTTATGCCTCAAGATCAGCTGCAGTTTCTACACATTGTCTGTTATGAATAGACCGATCTCCAATTGAGCCTCTTCACTTTGGAGATTTTTCGATTTTCGATTATACAGCTATTGAAATTAGGATGCGCCGCTTTTTTCTCTCTTAGCTTGGTGGCTCGGTTACTTTTTTGTTTCTTTTTTTTTTTTTTGATTGCCAGATGAAATTGACACTTGGGTTGCCACTTATCAAGCGAAGCATTTCAATCCACGCTAATTGCAGATATAGTGCCATCCTTTCTTTTCACCGCGTTTGATTGCATGGGAATACAGCCTCCCATTGCGCACAAGAAGAATGATCGATCATATATAGGTTTTTTTCCCCTTCTAATTACATCAAAATTTCTTTTGTTGCCAGGGTTTAAATGCAGGAGAAACTGTTATTCGTTGTTTTGGACCGGATATAGTGTGGGCTGGGGCAGAGATGCGTAATGCGCAGAGAAAGCTCCATCTTCTCTCCAAATAGGCAGCGTTCAAGACCCGAAAATGGTGAGTCACAAACATCTGGACGAGTTTGGTTTGCAACCTTTTGATTTCTTTGTGTTTCAATCTGTGTAAGGTTTCGTTGATTCCTCTTCTTGCCCTCTTCCTAAACTTTTTGTATTCGGGATAACCTTGGGCACGACTCAGGTTTAACCAGGAGGAGACAAAAACTGCACCTCTAGGCTGTGTGCGTTCATGATCAGAGATGTCGTGGAGATTAAAGCCACCAAAACTCAGTTTATTCACTTTTGATTTGTGGATTAGAGTCCACAGAGCCGTATTTTTAGCCCGAGATAAATATTTGTGTTGTAAAATTTAAATCATCGTCATGCGTGGATGTGTGTAGAAATAAGTTAACTGGAAATAAATTATGTTTAGTTGAATATTAGTGTTTTTTTACAGGACTGGGTCTTCATGTTTCCACCACATCACTGGTTAGAACTGAAATACTTCACGTACTATTTCTGCAGTTACCACTCTTAAAAATAAAACAGAAAACTGCAAGAGACCATGAAACCAGTCTCCGCTTTGATGTAAAACTGTCTTTCTTCACGCAGTCTAAGTCGGAGGTGAAGAAGGAGTCCGGTGAGTCCAGTCCGTCGGAGGCCGCCTGTCTCTGCTCTCCTCCGTCGGCCAAGAACCAGTGCGCCAGCTGCGGCATGGAGATCCATGACCGATACCTGCTGAAGGTGAGAAATAACGAAAAGCAGAGGGAAATGATAAATATCTACAGTCCCAGAGAGAATTAAACGTGTCCACGAAGCTTCAGCTGATTTAAGCTCCAACTCCGTTTCTTAATTTGGTTTATAGCTTTTCTTTTACTTTTTCTCTTTACAGATTGAGCTCAACAAAATGAGCGCAAAATAGGTGAATGAAGATAATTTAACTCACGCACTGCAATACAGTTTTCCTATTTTAGTGACATTTTTCTCCTTTTTCTTATATTTTTTTAAAAAAATAGAAAATTAATTATTTTGTTGGAGTTTTTGATCCGCTTTGAGTAAAATAATATAAAAGAAAATATCTATTATGGATCACAAACACTCAGATGTGCATTCGTCTGTAAGGCTGACAGTATTTTTCTTTTAATCTCCGCAGGTCAACAACCTGAATTGGCACTTAGGATGTTTGGAGTGTTCAGTCTGCAGAGCGTCTCTGCGCCAACACAACAGCTGCTATGTTAAAAACAAAGAAATCTACTGCAAACTGGATTATTTCAGGTAAGATCAGGTTGTGTTCTGGCGCTGATTACATTTATTTAAAGACTTACGCTGTTTACTGATTATTTAGATTTTGATTGACTGTTTGACTTTTTGATAAATATAAATAAACAATATATTTATTTGAATAACGACCACATCTAAACTCAGTTAAGCTATACATTCACCCAATGTCATCATCATGTCAAATAAGTGTATTTATTTTTCTAGTAGGCCTGAATTAATAGCCTAATCAATGAATATATTTTTAATTGGGTTCAATTCAAACTTGTAGATTACCGAATTCAGCGATTAAATTTATTCAATGTTGTTATAATGTTTATATATTTTCTAAATGTATTTTATTTAGATGTTTTTTCCCGGTCGCTTTGTTTCACCATGTCCTTGTTTGTAATTGTAAGTTGCGTGCGCACGCAGCTTGTGTGGTTTATCCTTTTAATTTGGAGACCATTTATTTTAATTGTAGATCTCTTTAAGTGCATTTGTTGAGTATCTAAAAAGCAAAGAAATTAACGAATAATAGACCACTGAAAAACATGACCGTATGTATTCTTGTTCCGAGCTGCGTCTGCGCGACTCAAAATACTGATACTGATGATATTATCTTTACTTTCTTCTTTTTCTTTTTTTAAAGATCTCTCATTGAATTCCAAAAAATCTTGTAAACGATCAATTATGAACTAACGCTATTAAAATATTTGAAGCGCACACTTCCTGTTGTTGTTCATATTAATATAAAGTTCAGTATATTGTATTTTTGGTGAACCATAATTGTTTCTAGACATGCAAGAATATATTTTAATGTTTCTCTTCGATCCTGGTAAAACTGAAAAATTATAGAATGAATGTCCAATGAACTGGAACAGTGACTGATGACTTCTATATTATTTTGATAAATTATTGAACATAATTTAGTTTATTTGTCTGGGTGCTTTTACAGCTAATTGATCTTTGCTCTCCAAGATCAACGTTGGACTCTAGTATAACATGATTTCACTTCCCAGTTTAGGGAATTATGATTTCTTAGTGAAAAATGTGCTCCGCATAATGGGCCATAATGAGCTTTTGGTCTACAGGATCTTTTTAGCAGAACATATCACAGTAAACCACTATAAAAAACAACTAATTCTCAGACTGTAAAAATCAGTTCACACTCATCAGACCTTTAAAGAACAGTTGCCCGATCAGATCAACGAACAAACATTTGTCCTAACAACAAGACAAAGTGCACTAATGCCATAAACTTTATACTGACCACTGTCGTGTGTTGATAATTTGACTGACTGCAGATTTGTTAGAACATTTTCACCACTAATGCAGAATATTAACTGCTATTATTAGCTAATTGTGTGGCGTTGTCTTGTAGAGGTACTAAAATCTAGTTTAGGACCTTATTCTTTTAGTTTATATTGTGCCCACAGGGTGCACATTCCTTAATAATGTTGTCTTTACCACAAACTAACTGACACACAGAAACCTTGGGCCCAGGCGGAGCGTATAGTTTCCACTGGATGGGAGGAACAGGAACATCTCCCCCTCACTTTCTCAAAATCCCAGTTTTGTTACCTCCACTTTTATAGTTTAAGTTTGATTTATTCAAAATCCATTTAAACTGTCTCTTCTTAATGTAGTGGTCATCCAGTCCAGGTGAAATAATGTGTGAGTAGACAAAAATGTTGATGTACTCATCAAGGTCGCCTTCAGTCACAGTGTAGGGCTCACTAAAATATACTCAGGCAGCAGTGAGTCAATTGTGAACTGTTTTGCCCTGGGTTTTACCTCCCAGGCTACATACAGACAAGATGGGATGGGAGTCAATTTTACTATTCATGACAGGACAGTAAAAAAAGTAAACAGGAGCAGGCAGGACATGAATCATAATAATAATAGGTTGTTTTATATACCTATAAATAGGCAGTTCTAATATGAATAAACACTATTTTCTTTATTTTGTACATAGACAATTGTTTTGTTGTCATTTTTTTGTTCTCCCCCGTCTGCTCTTGTGACTGGTTACTGTTTTTTTGTAACACAGGAACAGGATGGGGTGGGAGACATTCTTCCAAGATTGGTATGGGACAGAAGTGAAAATGAACTCCTGTGTCACCCTCGAATACAGACTGATGATGCAATCTACTATTTATTAAGATTACAATGTGTAATTATCTCAAAAGTCAGTGGAAATAAACATCAAATATAAGGCAGTTCACTCTGGAAATGAAGAGTCAACAATAACACTCCTCTGCACAGATGTTATACAAAACACTGCAGCAAACTATACAAAATATCGTTGCAGACCGTCGAAGGAAGATAAAGGCTAATATTTTCTGCTGTAAATGAAATACAGTAAAACTAATTGTAGCCTCGGCATGTTGTGTAATATGATCACGACATCCCTACTTTTAAATGAGTTCTGTAACTTGCAACCAACCTTCACCCGCCCTTTTCTTTCTCCCTCACAGTAGGTTCGGCACTAAGTGCGCCCAGTGTGGCCGGCAGGTGTACGCCAGTGACTGGGTGCGACGGGCTCGGGGCAGCGTGTACCACCTGGCCTGTTTCGCCTGCTTCTCCTGTAAGAGACAGCTGTCCACTGGGGAGGAGTTCGGCCTGGTGGAGGGCAAGGTGCTCTGCCGCAGCCACTACGACATCATGCTGGATAACCTCCGCCGGGCTGCAGAAAACGGTAATCTCAAAGATGTATCTCTGATGGTTCTCTGATGATTGCCAGCAAAAATATGCAAGAGTCAAGGCCTCAGTAGCAAGGAGAACAAACTATTCTGGCAACTCTTGATCACTTGAGCTCTAAAGTTTCCAGTGCTCCCTTTAACTTTCCTCTCAAGTAGTTTTTTTTCCATCCTGGATGACAACATCTCAGATACATTCTGTGTGAGCTCAATCCAGCTCCTATTTGCAGCTCTTACTGAGTGAATTATCAAGAACATTCAACCTGAATCACCAATCTTTGATCTTTGTTGACTTCTTGAATTGAACATCTGAGGGTTTGAACTGTGGTTGTCTACCCAACGCGAGATTAAATGATGGGCCTGCTAAGACATCTGTAAGGTTAGGTTGGAGCTGGACTTGGAAAAAACAAAAGCTTTGGGGATTTCCAACAAAAATAATCACAGTTTGAAGACAATAGAGGGAAAGAGTTAGAAACCCTCAGTTCATCATGTTGAAGCTAAAAAAAAGCTGCCAATATGGAACTTCTAGTGGAAGACTCTGCTCTTTGCTGTGCTGTCAGTGAGGGAAGCTTTAGCCATAATGGTATAAATACTTTAGACTGTGCGGTTGTTGGCAAGAAAACATTTTAATTATGTTAAATGGATTGTTTGGACAAATGTTAAATTTTATGAGCTCTAACAGAATTGGCCTGTAAACTCATAACTACGTTGTTTTGTGTAACTTCACAACATAATGATTGAAATGTGAGTGAGACCTGTTGTTATTGTGCTCTCTAAAAGGCACAGGTCTGACTCTGGAAGGAGCGCTGCCCTCTGATCAGGACTGCCAACCAAAACCAGCCAAGAGGGCGCGGACATCGTTCACTGCTGAGCAACTGCAGGTAGATTCTGCTCTGATGTGTGTGTTTGGGTACATTGCAGTGTCACCTGTTGTCTCTTGTACATGTGGGGGTTCTTGACTGAAGGCAGTGTGTCCTCGCAGGTGATGCAGTCTCAGTTCGCTCAGGATAACAACCCTGACGCTCAGACGCTACAGAAACTGGCAGAAATGACAGGACTGAGCAGACGAGTCATACAGGTAGGAAATAATAAAGCATACGATTACATTAAGAAGCAATTTATACTTACTACAGGTGGTTCCCACCCGGGGGTTGAAATCCTTTAAAGTAGTTGTGAGATAAACAATGAGGTAAAAAAAAGAAGCAAAATAACATATTGCACAATAATGAAACATATTTTTTTATTTTTTTATTTCTTCAGATAAAACAATATGAAAAAGGGAAATTACTCTTTGGTTGAGCTAATTACAGCAACCTGTGATGAGGGGTCATAAACTGCAGTACGGTAGACACTGCTTTGTTTAAAAAAAAGCCACTCATACACAATGATTCAGATTAGTTTATTTTCCTGGAACTTGTAGTAACTAACACCCACAACAGGTTTTTAAAGGTTGATGAAGATTTGTTGAGTTTTTAGACAAATAACTACCTAAATCCAGAGAATCTCCTCTATAATTTATCTTGGTGTAGTGTGTCCCAGTGTTCTTGCTTATAAACCCTTAATATTGGTCTGGTTTGCCTTCTGAAATTGACAGATTTTAAGTATTTTTAGAGACTAGACAAGATAAAGTATCCAATATTTCAAAAGAAAATGGCAAATTATGATATTTTTTTCTGTTTTTATCACTTTAATCAGCTTGTGGCCCCTCAGATCTCTGGTTGTACAGAACCCCAGGTTGGAAACTATTGATCTAAACCATTTTAAACACAATACGCAGTGCTCTTCAGAGTAAAATGGGTTGTAGGTTATACACACTAACACCAGACCCAGCTGGCATCCAGCCCACTGTTTAAGAGAGTCTTGACACAAACTGGTTGATCAATACATTGTTAGCCCTGGTCTTAATGAATATAATGAACTGTCACATTTGGATGTGTGTAGTTATTTATAGTAAATAAGGCTCAGTTTCACCAAGAAACCTCACAGGTTACACGGGTTAGTTGTGTTTTGTAATGAGCTCTCATATTTGACAACTTCACAATTCTAATAAAATGTACCATAATTTTTCTAGGTTAACCTAAATTCTACATATAATCCATTAAAATATGTGAGTGTGACTATTCATATTAAATAAATCTTTATTTTAGTGTTTTTTTTTTATTATCATTATTTTTTCTGAACCACTGGCCTGGCATTGAAAGGGTTAAGCTGATGGGGGGAAAAAACACACATTGCAATGATTTCTCTGGCATAAAATAAATAAACAAATCTGGTGAGAAGAACAGCTTGACCCTGATATCCACTGTGTTTGTAGAGTATATCTCCCCCTGCTCGCTGCATGTTTACATCATCTGTATATTTCTCAGGTTTGGTTTCAGAACTGCCGTGCGCGACACAAAAAGCAGCCGCCTCAGAGCAGCTTCTCTCAGAGCGCTCCACTGTCCAGGATGCCCCCATCGCTGCCAGACGATATCCACTACTCACCGTTCAGCAGCCCGGACCGACCACATCTACTGGCCCTGCATGGATACCTGGACAGTGAGTGTCAGGTCTTATTGTTAGTGTCACTTTGTGAGGGATAGATTTCTGAACCACAGATGAGACTTATATGTTTTAAAAAGCATAATGATACACATATTATGGTATATTTAATCATCTATTTCTCACCATTTTAACTTTATAATCAGCTGTCTCTATCTGTTTGTAAATTGAATCGGGATTCAAAGGTTTAATTTGTTACTTCAGACAATATGCAGTGAAGTAGAAATTTGAGGTACTTTACTTGATTGCTCCTATTTCATGCCACTTTATAGTCCCATTGCACATTTCATGGTGGAAATATTGTACTTTTACTCCACTACATTTATCTGACAGCTGTAGTTATTTTACAGATTAAGCAAATTAAGATTTTAAAAGCACATGATCAGTTTATAAAATATGATGCACTTTTTATATATTAAACTATTCAACATTATGTAGAATAACAAAGACAGGGTCAATTCTTCTGCATCATGGATGCTTTTGATATATTATTTTTGATGCAACATTTTGTAATAATACTTATGTCCTTTTACTTAATTAAAGAGTATTTTAAATTGCAGTACTGCTACATTTATTTAAGTAAAGGATCTAAATACTTCCCCCAACACTGGCAACATAATGCAGGATAGTATATTATTGAATCTGTGATGGAAAAGGCTAGTGTGCAATAAAGAATAATAATTAGAGTAAGAGTACAAATAAGAATTTGAAAAATACATATATATAAAAATTATAAATAAGTATTAAAATGTAATAAAGGTGTATTTTGTTCTGGTGCATAGGTGGGCTGTGCAATTTTCCAGTGTATAAAAAAAGTAAAATACAGTTTGTTACAGCTGTAAGGCAAACTATACAATACAATTTCAAAAAGGATTTTAGAAGATGGATCGTCTGTTGGTTTTCCCGAGATTTCTCGTTTTCTTTCCTGTTTTCACTCCTCCAAATCTAGGGTCTAAGGATAGAGGGTGTCATTTGTTGTACTGACTGTAAAGCTTCTTGAGGCAAATGTTTGATTTGTGATTTGGAACTATACAAAAAGGACATTGTGATAAATGTTGAAGGCCCAAGTTTGAAACACTGTGTTTTTTAAATATGCATTCTGAATATATTCTGAATCTCATTTCTTACTTTGGAGGATTTCTGCAGACAAAAGCCTGCCAACTGATCATGTGGATGCTTTAGAAGTTTTTATCCGTCTTCCGCAGCATGTTCTTGAAACTAAATTACAGTAATATGCTCGTATTGCTCCCCAAACTCATGTTGTTTCTCTTGTCTTCTTTGTGCAGCTCATCCCTTCTCTGTCCTGGCTGCCCCGAGCCACTTGACCCATCCGTCCATCTCTCTACCACAGCTTCCCATCAGCCGCTGACCTCCTGTGTCCACTTTTTGCGGCGTCAACCACACTGATGTTGTAAAAAAAAAAAAAAATCCTTTGGGACGTACTGTCAGTAATCTGCTCTGTTTGGGATTCTAATTGCTGGCAAAAGCGACTTTGGCGATCTGTTTTCAATCAAATCGGATTCTTTGCTGTGAGACTGCTGAGCTAAACTTGTCTTTTAAAGACAGCAAACTGTGGCGATTGGAGACATGTCCCGCCTCCATGCCAACATGGGAGTTTTTTTATTTTGTCTTGTTTTTTATGATGCAGAGAAGAAGACCACTTTTATTTTATTTTTCCTCTTTTTGATGGGACACAAAACATTGCATCAGGTCAGGATTTTTTTCCTTATGTTTACCCACTCATACAAGGTATTTTAATTATATTGCTGCAATGTGAGCTCTCAAAAAAGAAGAAAAAAGGAGTGTTGTAGCAGTATTACAGTAAAACCTCAGCTTTTTTGGTATTAATGATGAGCACATTTGCAGGTTACTGTTGTTTGTTGTTGTGTTGTTGTCAGAAAAATGGAAACTCTTATTTATTCAGAACAAAACTTCACTTTTAAAACGCACTTTTAAATGTGTCTAGAAATTCAGTGATTGTACATTGTAAATACTGCTACAGTTTAATAAAAATGTATCAGAGCTGTTATGAAATTGTTTGAATAACTGAGGTGAGGTTGATTTAATCATGCAGACAGAGCGAGAGAGTGTGTGTGTGTGTGTGTGTGTGTGTGTGTGTGTGGGGCTGAAAATGTCAGGACAAACACACATTTTTAAAGACAGAGCATTACAGAGAAATGTGAATGCATCTCCACTGGAAGCACATTATATCAAGACACTATTTTTACACTAAGAGCTGCAAAAATCAAAAGGTCACTTGTCAGAGGCCAGGTACTTGCAGTAACCTGTTATTGAGAGCAATATCCTGTGGCCAACCTGCACATTAACTCCAATTTATGCTTAACAGGAGATGTGATCAATCCTACTGTGAAAACGATTATTTGAAATGACATTTTAACTCAAAGCGCGGCCATTGATCGGGCAGTTTGTTGGCTTTTGTGAAGCCTTTTAACACTAGATTATCTACAGTTGTTACATTGATTGACAGCACTTAAGGAGCTGCGATGGGAAGAATGAATGGGATACTTTGAGTTAAAGGATATCGTTAGATCTAGATTTTCCAAACTGGATCAATGTGTGGGTAGTTTTTTTCTTTTCTTTTTGCCACTGTAGTAAATTAAAAGAGTGTGCCACACCCTTGCACTTTGAGTTTCTCAGATTTTTTAGGCTGGTAGAGATATTGTTATTTGAGATTTGAAACAAATCTGATGATGATGTATCATCTGGTATTCATTCTGTTACATAAACTTTAGAGGAGTTTAGATAAGAAGAAAGAGAAAGATAAGAATAAGATTAGAAGCAGGGGAAAACTGGTACAACAAATAAATCTGCATACCAGCACCTCTAAAGGCTACAAATTAACATATCATACCTGATTTGTGGCAACTACTCCCTGCCAAGAAAAAGTGTGGCACCCTCAGTTATTGTAGCCCAGTAAGATACTGAAAATGAAAATCTTTCATGAACAGAGCCAGGCTAGTTGTTAAAGCCGGATTCCAGTTTGTCTGCTAAGCTAAGCTAACAAGCTTTTGGTTGCAGCTTCATATCAAGCATACAGACATGAGAATAATGTTGATATTCTCATCTAACTTTCAAGAAAATGAATCCAGTTCACCGGTGTGCAAATGATTTAATGGTGCGATACTGTGTTTATATTTCTTGTTTTGGCCAATGTATTCAATATTGATGTATCTGCGATAAAATCAGGCTCTGCAAACTAGTGCTGAAATGAACAATTATTTTCACTGTTTAATTTCCCAATTAATCATCTATAGGTCTATAGAGTGTCAAAAAAATATGGAGCCCCCAAAAGATAATGGTGCATTTTCTTATAATAGATTTTGCAATCTTTCTGATCCATAGAGAAAGGCTGAGCTGTATTATGATATAGTATTAAGTGAGTGGCCGCACCCTCAACTATGTGTAGCTCAAGTCAGTATCATTGCAGCTGGATAAATAACTAACAGAGCTTTTTAACCTAGCTCTCTCACCGACTGCTGCCAAGGGTTGAAACAGTATGTAGCTGTGATATGACAATGGGATGACAGAGCTTTGGCCATTGCTATGATTGTGGCTGTAGCCATGGCTGTGCTTTGGTTGTTATGATTATTGCTTTGAAACATTAGTTTATAATGGGTGTAACAGTAATACATGCAGGGGTTGTGTGTGTACGGCGACATGGTTGTGTTGGCTGAGTGTTGTATTGAAGCTGCTGTATACCTGAACTCCTTTGGTGTATTGTGGTGTATCTGTTAAGTGGTTTATCAATGCCTTTTTTGGCCTATGTTAATTGGAGAACAGTAGTCACAGCTACCATAGCCATATCCATGGTGTCATACATTCAGCCATAGATACAGCCGTAGTCTGAGCATTAACCATAACCACAGCTTCACCCACCACAGGCAGGCAGAGCAGCCGCTGTTGTGCTTGCAGTTAGTGGCTGTAGTAAATGTATAATGTAAAAGTGTCACATCCTTTCTGTAGCATCTTTAGTGCTTTTCCCTAGACTAGCAACCAAAACTGGACTGGACCAATACACTTAAAGTAGTCCAAGAAAAAAAATTCCACCATGGTCCTTTGGGGGGAAAAAAAGCCCATCACAATTTTCTAAAGCTTAAGGTGATGTCTTCACATTGCATTTTCATCCAACCATCAGTCCGAAACTGGAGGAGATTCAATTTACTATGGTATCAAACAGAAAAACAAATAAATCATTACAAATGAGAATCTGGAACTGGATTATGTTCTGTATTTTTGCCTGAAACAAGTTAAATGGTTAACAGATAATCAGAATAGCTGAAGATAAATTGTCTGTCGATCAGCTATTTGACTAATTGGTTTAGCTCTGCTTGAAAAGACAACCTTCGTAGAACATGTTTATGGTTGGTTTGATTCTGTACTATTACACAGAAATTATATCTTACCACACAAACGTTTATGGAGTTGAAACCTGGACCTTTAGGCTGGTTTTAGGCCAGTTATTTTTAAACTAATAATCCTACAAACAGCCTAAAGGAATAATGTGATATTTTGGGAAACACATTTATTAGAGAGAATATTGATGTATATATTCTTAGGTCTGTACAAACTGTTACACCTCGGTTTGTGTGTGGATTAAACAAACAATATAACATGTTGATAAGTGAGCTGTAGATGTAGGGCTGGTAGGAGATTTATATTTACCTTCGGTGTTTCCAGTCTTCATGCTAAGCTAACTGCTGCTAGCTGTTTATATTTAACAAACAAACACGAGAGTGGTACTGATCTAACTCTCAGCAAGAAAGTGAATGAGTACATACAGGAACTATTCTTTTGGGGGGTGAAATCCCTGACTGTTTATCACGTTGCTGGTAATGTATTATGTATGCATTTGTATTTGTATGTACATTTGTGTGTACATTGTACATTTGTTTTGTTTTGAATAGATTTCTCAGTGGCATTAAAGCAGGTGAGTCAAATTACAAAAGGAGCACAATCACATCTATCATATCAAGTTTCAGTAGCGAAGACAGCAGTGTTTCTCCTGTTGCTTAAGCAGGAATGTGAGAAACACGACGGCACCGACTCCACACAGACAGCAGAACTACAGCAGATAAAAACAGACACAATGGATCCCTTATACTACCCAGAGATTTAATTAAAGATGCCCAAATGTTGACTGGACCAGGTGTGTGTGAGTGTCTGCATCATTGTCTGAGTTTTATGTATGTGTGTCTTTGTGTGGGAGTGTACTGTACATCGCTAATAATCTCATTCTTTCCTAAACTTTTACCTTCAAATCAAACTTTTTTTCCAATCAATCACTTTCAATCAATTCAGTCCAGGAAGAAACCTGTTCAGGAAAACGATGTTCCTCCTTGTGAAATCTGAGAACAAAAGCTGTCTTCATGCTGAGTAGAGAGATGATTATCAGGCTGACACAGTTTGGGCCACCTGCCAGCACTACACTGTAAAAACGCACATTTCTTCCCCATTAAAGTCCCTCTCAGATACGAGCGCTTAAGGCAGCGTTTAGGCATGTCTCTCTCCATGCACAAGCATCCCAGAGCGTTTAAGCCGCCCCGTTTTGTCATCATGTCATGCGTCCGCCTCAGTGATTGGCAGCTTCAAGTGGTTACAGATGAAAGCGGGCCCCCCATGCTAATGAATAGGCCCCTGATTGCAGAGCTGCTCGCTCTCTGAATTACAGCATCGCTCGCCTAATGAGCAGATACACTGCAGTGCCCCTCGTCTCAGCGTATTCACATTTCTCTCCTTCAACGCTGATGAGCTCTCCCCTGCACAACAGTCAACAAAACCTCTGTGGAAGATTGCAACGTGGGCCATCTTCATCAGCACCCTCCTCCTCCTCCTCAAGTTTATTTCAGATGATGCCATATGCTGGCAAGGTCTTCTAATTTTTTTGTGTGTTTTTTTCCTGCTTCACTTGAGTATATTATTTGACTAAACTGATGGAGCCATGCAAAGTATCTGAATGGCTGATGAGTATGATAATGTCTCCTTTTCAACTCTTAAATAAAAGAACTTGAATAATATATTTTTTTTAATTTAAAAATATCTTACTGTACCACCAAGCTGATTGTGTAGAGGTAAATATAAGCATATAGGCATCTGTAGCATCTGTCAAATAGTCTATTTGACTATTTTAGGAGTAAAATATAGCTATGCAGACAATGCACAACTTTACATTGCACTATCCCACTGATAAAATAAGCAAAAATATTAGAGTCAAGGCCTTTCCAAAGGTTTGTTAATGTGTCTCTTGACTTGAAACTGCAACACCCCCTCCACAATATGTCAAAATAATATGTTTCAATAATATGCTTATTCATATGTATGTTTAACTCGTTTAGCTTGTTCATTCGGATACAACAATTTAGGAAAACTGAAATAATTTTTTCATCAACCGAATTGTCTTTCCCCCAAAAAGCTTACAAACTGCAACTTGGCACAGGAGGTCTGTCAAGCTTTAGGCTATGCATGCCAAAACAGCGTGCAAGAGAGAAATACTTGGCATTTAAAGTGCTGAGAGAGTCCTTTTTTCTGGCCTTCCAGAAACCAAAAACACAAGTGTAAGGCATGGATTAAACTATGTAACATATTGTAATCTGCAAACATTAACATGCCCAGTTATTTCTAATCCTTTAAAGATGAAACATACTGTGTTGCTTCTCTCTCTCCCTTTTAACATGACTGAAATCAGTGGCCAGTGATTGACAACACACACAACATTTGTTATTTTTCACCCATAGAGATAGTTGGGTGCTCAGTGAAGAAGGTGCTGACTGTTCAACCATTTTTGGCTGACATATAACAGCAACAAAAAAGCCGCTGGTGCAGACAATGCTAACCGACACTGCTTCTTCTCGAAGTTGCTTCAACTATAGTGTGGATTGGGAAATGCACATACATGGAACAGCCAGAGCGACGTAGACCTTCAATTGTATGATGAACCAACCTGTCCACAGCTGTTGAGTTAACATTGAGTTAATGGTGACCGGGCACTTATGAATACTACTATCATCTTTAAAGAATGAACTCAAGA